CAGGGCAGTGCAATTTTCATTTGGTCAAGACAATGTTCTCGGTTCAGCCGAGCACATTTACTTCACTCAAGAACACGCTTTTTGAGGTGTAACTTTGGTGGAGTGCCCCATCATGGTTTCTCATGACGACACCTTCGAAATCAGCCCGAAATACCACATGACGCCGCCCCGATATCAGCTCTGCTGGCCTCCTCCCCCTGACGCCGTCCGCCCCGTGCGCCCTGTGACACCGCATGACGTGTCACGCGCGACGCGCGCGCGGGCGCGTACGGGGTGCCGGCCGTGCCGGGACAGGTGGGCCTGGTCAGCACAGCAGCTGTCGCCGCGCCGGCCCTTCACCCCGGGCAGGGCCGGGCCGGGCCCTTCCCCGCGCGTGCCGCTCAGTGCCAGGCACACTTACACTGCGAGCAAACAGTCCGTCCGACTGCACCCGTCCGAAAAGGGGACATGAGATAGCACAGGTGATAAGTGTCACACAAGCCGCCAGCACATCCACCGATCACCTTCCTTTCTTCCTTTCCGACGAGCCGCCTCCCAGTCTCCTTTGGCTGGGACGGTTATCATTTGCACCACTTCGGACAGAATTTGTATCAAATGAATTGGGTACAATATTCTGGTGTGCTTAAAAAGTCACAATTATTTTATTTTGAGGGGGACGAAATAGTCCAATCTCATTTATTCAAGGTGAAGGTGACTGATGCTCTATAAGTGGACGGGACATGACCGCGCGGCGTATTGATTGGAGGGTCTTGACCGGTCGATGCAGGGCGTGGCGGGGCGTGGCGGGGCGCGACGCCGCTCGGCTCCAGCAGCACATTGGGCGCTTGAGCCTCCAGCGCGGCCGGTGAATGGCGCGGCCGACGCAACGTCACACATGTGCGTCGCACTCGCTCTCCCGTGCGTCGCGGCGCGAACCATCTCACTCCCACCCCCTTTGCAGCCATAGCTGGTGGCGCGCGGCGCGGCGCAGCGCAGCGCGGCGCTGCTGGCGGCCGTCCAGCCCGCGATGGGTGTGGCGGGGCGGGGCGGGCGGCAGGCCGTTGCGGTGGTGTGCGGCGGTGTTGTGCGAGGAACACCACGGCTGGGCGGGGCGGGGCAGGGAGGAGCCATGCAGGGACCCTCCGGTTTTTATCCCGATCGCGCGCGGTGCGGCGAGGCGCGGTGGGCCGCGGTGGGCTGCAGCACCTTGCACACACGGTGCGACGCCC